AGTAGTAGTAGTAGTAGTAGTAGTAGTAGTAGTAGTAGTAGTAGTAGTAATAGTATTAGTATTATCTTAGAATATTAAATGTTGTCATTTTGCTGAATTAGCATCCTTTTATAGTTCTTCAGAGGTTTGCCAGTTCCTAATTTTTACAGTTTGCAATTTTAATTTGACCTTTGGATACAAGTATCAGTCTGAATCCTCTGTTGCTGAGCCTGCATACCTTTAATCAACGACTTTAGACACAGAAAAGGGCATCAGTTCCAAATTAAAAGCAACTCTGACAAAACAATATGTAAGAAAATACCTGAGTATTTTTTAATTTCATCAAAGGCTCTATAAATTTCATCATTTATATCTTGTTCAGTCTAGTTTTAAAGCTACAAATGCTACAGTGCATTCTCCTCCTGACTTCCTTTTTTAAAGCCACAATTCATTTAACTAAGTTAGACTCAGTAAAAGTCTATGCTGAAAGAGTTTAAACTCAGAAATCTTTGGGGTTAGTGTTGTGAAAACTCTTGGCCCATCAGTAAAAATCTGCATTCCACTTAAACAAATATAGTATTTCAAAATAATCATCTGTCTGRCTGCATAACCTTCTTGTTTTGTATTTCAACTGTCACTCTCAGGGTGTCTAGAGTCAGTAAATATGAGACAAAGGTAGAAAAAATCTGGATGTTTAAGCACAAATGAGGTATGTGTCTTCCCAACAGATAAATTGCTAAATTTAGGCGTTTTTCACTTAAGATGATGTTCTATTCCTTTATCTAATATAGAGCCACATGGTAAGTTCAATAATGTTTTTAAAGCCTTACCCAGACGTCCACGGCATTTTTACGCACACATGACGCACTGCTGTGGCGCATCATCCTCTGCATCCCTGCGGCTCCAACGGAGGAGTTGACAGGAGGTAATCCCCACCATGTGAGGCCTCGGCCCCAGTCTGGAGGCGGGGTGTGATCCATTCATATGTGCCGAGCTTTTAAAAAGAGGGGCGGGAGTTYCAAGTAACCCAACTTCGGCTCACTCAAGATCGTAGCGCGAGAGCATCCAGGTGGTCATGAGAAGTGATGATGATGATGAGCACCATCAAAGCCATTAAAAATTCAATGGTGTGTTTAGTCCTGCTGCCCCGGTTCCTGGTGGCAGCTGTTGTCTTCTGGCTGCTGGACTTTTTGTGCATCAGGAAAAGGGTTTTCCTCAGAATGAGAGGTGATGACTTGGATCCTCCTCTGTGCATATCGGACTCCAATCGCCTCTTCAGCCTCGAGTCCCTCAAAGCGGTCTGGCACGGACAGAAGTTGGACTTCCTGAAGGTGGCGCGCCTCGGGCACGGAGCGCCGAACACCGAGGTCATCCAGCTGGAGGAGCAGCGGCGCAGCCGGATCCTGGACTACGCCAGGGGCAACAGACCGCTCATCCTCAACTTCGGCAGCTGCACCTGACCACCGTACATGGCGCGCCTGAAGGCTTTCCAGGGGCTGGCGCAGCAGAACGCAGACGTAGCAGACTCTGTGGTGGTGTACATTGAGGAGGCTCATCCCTCTGACGGCTGGATGAGCACCGACGCGCCCTACCAGATCCCCAAACACCGGTGTCTGGAGGAGCGGCTGAGCGCGGCGCGGCTCATCCTCCTGGAGGTGCCCGACTGCCAGGTGGTGGTCGACAGCATGGAGAACTCCTCCAACGCCGCGTATGGAGCTTATTTTAACAGACTTTATGTGGTGCAGGAGGGGACGGTGGTCTACCAAGGCGGCAGGGGACCTGAGCGGTATCGGATCTCAGAGCTCAGAGACTGGCTGAACCAACACAGACAGAGTCTTGAAAACACTAACACTCAAGTGATTAATGTGTAGATTAAACTCATTGTATGTATTTTTTTTTCTGCAAATTGTATTTATTTTATCATAAGATTGAATCCTTCAACATTATGCTGCTGGATTTCCCAATTTTTTTNTGCAAATTGTATTTATTTTATCATAAGATTGAATCCTTCAACATTATGCTGCTGGATTTCCCAATTTTTTTACTTCAATATTTATAAATGTATAATCCTATTAGCTCTCATTCATTAAAAATGTTAATTTGGGGCATTTTTATTAATAAAAAAGGCATTTTTATTGTCCAACTGATTATCTTTTCACCCTGCTGTGCGCTCAGCCAGTCTGGACCTGGAGACGTGCATCACTCTCCTCCCCCGGTATAAGTTGTGAAGTTCGGTTTTTAAACGGAGCCAGTCCAGAGAACCGACACTGAGATTTGWTTATACTGGAGGATCACAGTGAAGATGCTACTCTCTGTCCTGCTGCGTTCATACCTTTTATGTTCTTTTGTAAAACAAAAATTCAGTTTTATGGATATATTTTCTGTTAAATAAATGTTTTTTGTCTAAATGTTGATTCCAAACTGTTTTTGTAAACTGAACACATGCAAGCTGAATATTTGTATTTCCAATCATTTTAGTGTCCAACCTGACTTCCCGAAGTCAGTTCAAGATTTTTTCTTACTGTATGGAACAGCTAAAATTTTAGAAACGTTTCTCAAAAATGCAAAAAAATATCCACCTGAAAACTCTTCAAATTTGAAAACCTATTTTTATGCAAAAAAATTGTCTTTTATATCAGAAAATCAGCATTGATAACAAAAAGTCACCAGAGCCTTTGATGACACACAAAAAATGGATGTTTAAGCTGCACAGTTTTATTTTGAATTGAATGCTTTTGGTTCCTTCATTTCTCACTGTCAAAATGAACAAATTTTTACTGTAATTAACGAATAACAGGAGGCATTAAAACAARTAAATATGATACATCCCAACCCAATCTCTTTGTCAAAATTCTAATAATTCTTTCACTAAATAAAGGCTCTTCTAAGATGCGTTTGAGGTCAGGAGGGCCTTTTCAATAAATCTTGAGCTAATATTGGGAAACTCTTGAATCTAATGTCATCCATTAACTTTTAACTGAGAACAAAGCTCCTAATTATTGTATTTTAATGAAWCAATTCACATAATCAATCTAAATGAAGCTATTCCTTTTTAGGGTGCATTTATCCTTTAAAGCTKCTCCTATAAATAAAATTGTCCTCTGGTATCAGTGTAAAACTGCTCTATATGTTGTAGATGATGATCGATGCAGCCAACCCCCCTCCTCCCAAAGAATTCATGTGTAAGCCTTTGATGTCCAAAACAGGATAATCACACTTTATCCTCTTATCCTTCAGTGATACATCCACCTATAATTGCCTTCATGTCTTCAGGAAAACAGGAAAAATGACGTAACAAAATTCCACGAATCCAAATACTTTGTATTGTGGAATATCTGCCTGGATTGTTTTTATGTTGGGAAAAAAAGCCATTCCCATTAGCTTCCAGTCAGTCTGAAAACATCCAGGGAATAGTAAATCAGACMTCTTTCTCTCTCTCTCTTTTTTTGTTTTTCCTAGAAAGGGATTTCATTCAGCTTTACTGAGGCTGGAGGGAAAATTCCTTCATAATGCTTTGGAGACGACACAAATAAAACTGAACAGAAGGCAACGTGCCGGACTCCGAGGAGTCAGGAAACCAGATTTTAACGCTGACTAAACCGTATATGTGGACATATAACATCTTGTTATGAGTCGATCCAAGTCTGAACTCCTCCTCAGAACAAAGGGAAGGTACAACAGGAGGAACGGTTTCTTTGAACAGATCTGAGTCGTGATGATGCTCAATGCTGGAGATTTCATTTAAAAAAATCTAATTGTTGCTTGTAAAACAAATTGAGCATTCTTAGTTTTTTCTATATGTCTTAGATTTAAAAAGTGTCACTGCAATAAAGTTGAAGACAAAAAAAGGGGGAAAAAGAAATGCTTTGTTTCTCCGTTCCCACAGTAAGAAAAATCTGAGCTCTGGAGCCAATTTGCATGCTGTCATAACGAACAGCAGGGTGCCGGACAAGTTAGATGACAAGAGCAGCTTTTTTAGCACTTCATCAGACTTTCAGAGAGAGGAGCTCAAAATGAAAATACTCCTGATTTTCTCAGCACTTGTGGCGAACAAACCTGAACGTCATTAAGTCTWTCTAAAATCAAAAGCTTTCTTGGTCTGGTTTGTTTATCTTAACTGCACATTTATTTAGATTATTTTTTTTATCTTTTGTTTTTACAAATGAAAATTATGTGGCTTTAGTGCCCACATGTGGATTTGAGTCAAACAAATCAAAATGAAATATTTTGGCCTTTTTATTTGAGGAAACAACGACACAAATTTGGAAATGTTTTTGGTAACATGATGAAAAAAAATTATAAAAAATAATTACACAGCAGTAGACTGTCAATTACTTTTTCAGTCATTCTTTCTGTGTGTTATTGCTGAGTCGGCATTTGGTTGTTTTCCTGAATTTCTTTTTAATTTGCAAACAAACCCCTTCTGCATACTTTGACCTTGTTCACCATTCATAAAAGGTTGAAGTTGACCAGGAATGATTTTACTAAGTGCATACTTTTATAATTGTTGTCTTCATTTACTTAATATTTCTCATTGAGACACAGAGATCTCTTCAGTTTCATTCAATGATTGCTGACATCTACGTTAACAACCTAGCTTTTTTTCTGCTTTCACATTTTAGGTATTGTCTTGCATATTTATCATTTTAACTCAATTCTAGCTCGTTTAGCTTTTAGCTATTGTTTTGTTAATGGCAAGTTTCCTACTTTTACCATTAAATAACAAATTGCCAATTTTTTTGGCCTTTAGCCTTTTGCTAATTGCATCTTCAAATGGCAACTTTTCTACTTTTAGCTGCAATTTTCTTAAGTTTAGCTTCTATTTTCCTTTTTTTAACCTACTGTTTTAATTGTAGAGCTTCAAATTACCATTTTCCTTTTTTACACTTTTTACGTTATTTCTAGCTGATATGACTCTGATATGAGAAACAGAATGTATTTTATGCATATGTGAGGAGAAATAATAATAGTAATTAAAAAAACACTGGGTGTTATTAAAGAATCTGTTACTGGTCTTACTTTAGAGTCTTCTCTGTGACCTGACTTCATCACTGCTCATCTGGAACACATTTAACCCAGAAACACAGAGTATTTATGTGGAGCTGACAGCTGACCGAGGGGTACCTGCCTGAGTGAAATATAACTTGCCCAAACGTGTACCCCTGAATTGGAACCCCAACAGGAATTCTTTGGATCTGGATTCCTTCCATGTGAGAATTTTTTCCACTCATGTTGAGTCTCATCTGTCTGCAGAGAATTGGACGGATCCAAAGGGTTAAGAGTCCCGGGTTAGCGGGGAGAGCATTAACTTTTGCTGTTCTGTTTTGTTTTATGACTTGAAGGAAGCAGAAAGYGTCTGCTGAGGTGTTTTTCCTCCTTTTTTTCAGCTTCTCTGGTCAGCTTTGAAGGTGAGGGCCCCTCTCTCCTCTGGGTCATAAATGAATGTCTGGTGGTGGGGAGCCGAAGGGGNTCAGTGTCCTCCTGCCATCAAAGAAAAGACATTTCTGGCCACAAACTGTACAGGTAAAAAGATTTGAACTGTAACAGCCTTGTTAAGGGTTTTCTGCATTTGATCTTGAATGTTGACTTTAAAGCTTGACGTCTGAAGTGGCATGTATAAAGCTGTTCTGTCAGCCTCTGATAAATGGGTCTACCTCTTAAGGGGGGGTGGGAAATCTAACCAAGTAGCTATGTGATGAGCTTTTATTCCTGTTTGAAATGAAATAGGTGCCCACAGGAAAACTGTTCTCAGCTACATAACCCTGTTCATAATTGTTTTTTAATTGCCCAGTTTTCTTTTCCCCAGTGTTGGTTCTAAAAATCACACGCTCACAAAGTTTTAAAGAATCTGTTTCATGTTGCCATCACAGGTGGCAGCTCAATACAACTTTAATTTGATCAATCAATTCTCAAATGCTTTTACTTGATCATTTAACTGTTAAAAATGTAGCAGTTTTTGGATTATTAAGTTTGAGAACTCTAAAAGCTAAAAAGTCAACTAAAATTGGGGAGCAGAAAATTGATGTTATGCATAAGATTGCTGGATAATCCGCAGTTATGCTTGACCTCTATATTTAGAGTTTGTTAGTCGTCTGGAGTTATTTAAATATGTTTCATCAAAACATTTTATTTCAACACATCTATAGTTTTCTGTCCAAATAAAAAAAGTTCTATTTGTGCACCTTGTTTAGCCATTTTGACCCGATCACGTTCTCCTTGATGAAGAAAACTCCTTTTTTTTCCATCCAAAATGATACCACATTTCTCAGAATCCTGGTTGAAGAAATAAAGCAATTCTGCTTGTGTGGAAATTCTACCAAAGCAAGACGTTCTGTTTGTTTCGCTAACATTCTTCTAATTGCAAACKCCACTTTTAAAATGGCAATCGAATGCATTTTCTGCTTGCTGCCCCCACCACCAGATCGGTCGAGGCAATAATGAAGGATGTGAAACGTCTTGTAGTATGTATTGATTAGTACTCAAGGAGAAGATGCAAGGCTGTAGAGGAATGGAGGAAAATAAATAAATAAATAAATAAATAAATAAATAAATGAATGAATAAACTGTCGTACCCGTTTGTGAGGCAAAGTCCCTGCCTCAGTTGGCAGGTTTCTCCAGCGAAGCCTTGGGGACACACGCACAGGTATCCCCCCTCTCCCGTCTCTWTGCAGGTGGCATTGCTGGCACAGGGCCTSGACGAGCACAGCCGAGTATCTGTTGTAAAAGAAGAAGGAACATGGAGGTCGGCGCGTTGTTTTTAGATCGTTTTAAGCTCTGCAGGTCTCTCTCTGTATTTCGGTGCCTGCTCTGCTCGGCCCCGTTTGTTCCCCCGCTCTCTGTTCTGCACATAACAGCATCTTGTCATCAAGAACAAGACAGAAAGTACAACCGAGCAAGCAACACGGGCCATCAGCACTTCTGCTGCGGCACAATATGAAACGGTGTATGTGAGGAGAAGTGGGTCAAACTGTAGCAGAAAATCCCCTTCATAAATGTCTTTGTTCCCACATTTGCTTGAAGCCAACAATACAGATTTTTTTGTCTGCTATTGCATTTCTTTTAATTGTTTTTTTTTTACATACCACTAAAAAGAGGTACCTGTCAGCAAAATATCTTAAAGAACAAATGCATGAATTTTAATTAAACTTGCAGAAAATAACCACAGAAATAACACGTGTAACTGATTAACCTTTGCAGTCATTTCCATTCAAAATGGAAGCCACAGCRAACTGAGCTTAGAAAACACAAACATGATTTATGTTTAGTCAATTTTACAGAAACTGTGCTTAAATTCAGTGTGGTTATAGCCAACAGTGATACACAATGCATACTCCAAGTGATAGTCACTGAGGAAGTTCTTTGATCAAAACTTTAGTGTTCACTCAAAAAAAAAAACATCTATTTTTGCCTGTTAGCAAAATATCCCATGAATCACTGCATGGATTTTAATAAAACTCTCAGAAAGTAATAACTGAATGAGCATCTACTAATCTTTACCTTTTGGATTGGATCCAATCCAAGATGGCTACAACAACTAATCCACATTAGCCAACACAAAAATGGCTGCAACTAAACCAACTTGACAGCTATTGAGCTAAAAATTTAACGTGGGAATGGCTGAGGTACCTACAACACAAGACACTACTCGTGATTTTTTTTTAAATTTGGCCAAAACATCCACAACTCCGTTTGTCAACAAGAGATGATCTTTAGCATAGAACTCATATGAATAGAGACAGGTGATATGCAGTCTTTTAAAGGAATGTTAGGCCTTTAATTTAGATTCTGATTATCCTTCCAGGTTAATTTGTTGCCCCCAGAGCCCGCTGCATTACTCCGTCCTCAGGTGGAGGCAGACAGACAGAAAGCAGCTGAATGAGGCTCACCTCGGTCGCACAGGCTGCCCATCCAGCCCTCTCTGCAGATGCACTGCCATGCCTTCTCACATGTGCCGTGCAAACAYCCAGGGAAGGGCACGCACTGGTCACAGTCCTGTCCTTGCCACCCTGGTTTGCATCTAAAACAAAAAGGAGGAGTGTGAAAAAAAAATCCCATCAGTCCTTTTCCACCCACATGCTGTCCTGCTCCTGTCCTCATGGCACCAGTTTCCTTTTATTAGTGATAAAATGTTCACGACTAAAATAAATCCAAATACAAACTGGAGAATGGATTGAATATTTCAAAACGTCAAACCAGGCATTCAGCTGAGAAATTAAATTCCCATTGTTCGGGGAAGAAACAAAAGACATAAAAACATCTCGTTGGCTGGATCAGGCTGTCATTTTCCTAAATGGGGAACAATTTACCGGGACTGTTTGCAGTAATGAGGTTGAGAAGGCCTGTAGGATATGAGCCATCATCTGCACAGGAATCTGAGGTAATTTTAGAAACCCACCTGCACTTCCCTGGRTTTTCACAAAACCCATTTTCTCTGCTGCAACCTGCGCTGCATTCCCAACCTTGTGAGACAGAAACACACAGAGAGAGAAAAAGGAGGGAGCAGCATGTTTGCATCACCAATCAAACAAAAACATGAAAGATTAAAAACAAAAACGAATAAATAAATAAAATATTCCTTCTTTGTTTCATGCAGACAGAAGGGGGAGGAAAGGGGGGTTTAATTTGCAGACTCGGGAGAACTGATGAAAGTGAACGCTTTACCTTTTGCCATGCCTGTCACGAGCAGAATTAAGACCACTCCGATGAGATGCATCGTGATTTCCAAGGAAGACGAACCTCTTTGTCCTGGAAAGATTGGAGCATGGCTTAAGTCGCGAAAACATGCGGCGTTGTTGAAAAAGCAAAACATTTTTTTTTTTATTATCCACGAAAATAATCCTAACAAAGTTGTTATGATAAATAAGGAGGGGACAACAACTTCAAAATATATGTTGAGTAAATATTAAGAGTTAACATCCTAATTATTTGTTGAGCCGCAGAATACTGACGCACCTGAACCATATGCGTCTGCGTCCGGAGGTGTCCATTACGCGCAGGAGAAAAGTAAAGCGTTACCAAACATTTCCAGCTGAAAAGCCCTCCCTGATTATTAGAATGATTCCGTCTCACCTAGGTGGTCCTCGCGCGCTGCCTCCAAGTGGCTCTGCTCATATTGAACTGCTTGGCTTGGATTTCCTCCCTTCCTGCTTTAATCCAGACGGCTGGGAGTGAAACTACAGGTGAACAGGCGATCTGATTGAAGAGGTGGACCCGGAGGGTTTTGACGGGACTTGCTTTCTGCGATCGTGCCCGCGTCCCAGTGCAGCGCACGCTCCTCCCACCCAATGGGGGTGGGCGAGGTGAGGTGAGGGGGAATTTTTTTTTGTGCACCAGTGAGGAGAGAAGTGGGTGCACACAACCTGAACTCCAGCGCTTTGGTTTTATATGTCATAAGGGGGGAAAACACACACAAACAATAATTGCTTTAAATCTTTTTAGTCTGCTGTTGAGTTTATAAAGATTAAAGCTAATCTGGCATTACAAACTGGAACTTGCTATTTAATTTTGCCACATTTCTAAGCCCTAATTTTCAGGAACCACTCAGAAAAAAGTCTCAAGGCTTCGCTGTCATACAGCATCAAAGGTTGTTTCCTTTTTGTGATTTCTGAGCAACATGAAAGCAAAACATCCTCAAAGCAAATATAAGATCAGATGTTATAAAAAATAAAGCAAAAAAATAGAGAAAAGTTGTACTAAAATAATTAACTTAAAGTTTTTATTTTATGTTATTTTATTTTGGTAGATTATCTCATTGAGACATCTTGACCTGAAGCACAGACACAGAACATCAATTACATAAATAACAATATTCATAAAGCACAAAACTTTATCCTGACATTTATAAAGGAACATACATTTAGAAACAGCAACAGGTTTGAAATGATGATTTTATTATTAATATTATTTTAATGGAGGAATCAAACTGTTGATGGGGCAGAAAAGGCCTTTCTTCCAAATCCTGTTCAAACACGGAGGACAGTAAGGGAAAGAAAATCCTGGGAACATGTGTGACATGTCATTATCTTGGAAAAGCAGTTTCTAAAGTTGGGGTCGGAGGCCCACTCTGGGTCATAAAACTTCAAGCAAGGGTCCCTATGATTTTCCAGATGCAAATAAATTGCTAACAAGATATTTTCACCATGATTGCTTCAAACAAAATTGTAAATGAATGCAAGCAGTATTACGTTTGTTGTATTGTTATTATGGCCATGTTGGGCAGCATGTTGGCTCAGTTCTGTAGCCTCTCAGTACGAGAGTTTAGGGACCTTTCTGGGTATCGTTTGCATATTATCACGTATAGGTTCCCTCCGGGCACTCCGGTTTCTTCCCACAGACTATAAAACATGAACATTAGGCTAATTACTAACTTACAACTTGTTCAGGGTGTAGCCAGCCCTTTGCACAGTGACCACCGTGACCCTGAAAGAAAGAAGCAGGTTAAGATAATGGAGGGATGGATGTCGATGTTGAACAGAGTTATTAGCAAAGTTTACATATGTAAACAAGTAATATCTGGGGTCACAAGTTTCCGCTGATTTCATTTTAAAGGTAAGAAGCCAAAATTTTTTGAAAACCACTTTCTTAGAAGATATGAAGGTTTACCAGAGTAAATAATGATGGCCATTTACCAGCGAGTATAGAGCACAGTGTTGTGTTAGAGGTTTACATTTTGTCATAAATCACAAAGCTTCATGGTAAGAAAACCCCAACATGTGTAGAAAGCCATCACCATAGCCCAGCAGTGGTAGGAAGGCTGCAGATACGAGATGTTTACAACCCAAATATTAAGATTATTGTGTTTTCTGTAGGTAATAGAAAAGCGTAGACATTTGCAAAAACCATTCAAAAACAGCTTAAAAACAACAAAAAGTGAATATTTTGAAGCCTAATATGTCCTCTTGAATATACAGATAATATTTTTGTTAAACTAGAAGTAATCTGCTGTTACATAAGATGTAAGAATTGCTGCAAATTCATTCAGACTATCAAAAGGGAAAATAGACAGATCGTGCTTTTACCCATTCATTTCTTCCAACATTGTACTTCTTGGATCATTATCCATCCATCCATCCATTTTCTTCCGCCTATCCGGGGTCGGGTTGCGGGGGCAGCAGCTTCAGAAGGGAGGCCCAGACCTCCCTCTCCCCAGCCACTTCTTCCAGCTCCTCCGGGGGAACTCCAAGGC